GTCTCCAAAACAATGGTGCCAAGACAGTTATAAGCCCACTAGAGGCCTGAAGCATGGAGATACATGCAAGAATGGGCCTTACTTCCCCTGTCTATTGGCACTGCCTTTGCTCCTGCCAGAGCTGCCTTTTTGCTCAGGCCTGGAGATACCTTTCTGCCTCCCCAAGCTGCCCAGAGCCCCAGAGCGGCTGGGGCAGTGTGGAATGCCTGCGTCATCGTCATAGTGATGACCAAGCATGCTGCCCCACCCTTGGCCACTCAGCGCTGGCATATGCAAATTAACCTGCCATCTTTGTTGGGTTAATTTGCATACTCACTCCTGATTGGCTGTTGGGCATCGTGAAGGTAAGATCAACTTGAGTCTTACTCTTTTATTTCTGTTCATTATAAAAATTGTTGGTTTTCCCATATACTTCATTATATTACTAAAAAACAATTTTACCACAATAGAATAAATATGAAATGTTCTTTATTAGAGATGGAGTATAATTGGCTTTGAAAGAGGCATTCCTTTTTAAAAAATATATATTTTATTGATATTTTATAGAGAGGAAGGAAGAGGGATAGAGAGCCAGAAACATTGATGAGAGAGAAACATCAATCAGCTGCCTCCTGCACAACCCTTCTGGGGATGTGCCTGCAACCAAGGTACATGCCCTTGACCGGAATCAAACCCCGGACCTTTCAGTGCAGTCTGACGCTCTATCCACTGAGCCAAACCAGTTTTGGCAGCATTCCTTTTCCCCCCCAATTACTATAATTAATTGTTATGAATGCAAAATCCTATAACTATGAACCATTTAGTAAGATAAAGAGTCTTGTTGTACAGGCCTAGATAAAGGCATCAAACATTTATTGAGCATATACAATAGGACAGGTGTGGTGTAAGGTAACAACTACACTAAAAAATCAGCCCAGCCCTTATTAAAAAACAAAATGATTGAAAGTACAGTCATGCACCAAATAACAATGCCTTGGGTCAATAATAGACTGCATATACTAGTACAAAGGTAAAAAAATGCCTATCGCCTAGTAATGTCATAACCATGGAAACATCATAACAAAATACATTATTTAAATGTTTGTGGTGATACTTGTATAAACAAACCTACTGCACTGCCAAGTATACAAGCATAGCATGTGCAATTATGTACAGTGCATAATACTTGATGATGATAATAAACAACTATGCTACTGATTTATGTGTTCACTACTATACTTTTTGTTGTTATAGTGTACTCTTTCTACTTGAATAAAAAAAGTTTGCTGTAAACAGCAGCCTCATCCATCTCTGTTTACAGTGTCTCTTGATTGCATTATTTTCTCCTGTGCTTGATTTCATCTTTGTTGCTTAGTACAGTAAAGACAGCCAAATATCAACAGTACAACGATTGAAATTTCTTTTGAGAACCAAAAACAGACTTCTGGAGGGATCCAAGATGGCTGACAGGTAAACACCTAGCCGCAGCCGTACACAACAATTTCAATAAAATGCAACTAAAATATAAAATGGACATTACCCAGAACTACAGGAAAGTTGACTGACTGGAAATCCTACATCGAGAAGCAAGGAGAAAACCAGAAGGAAGCACGGAGGAGCTAGAAAAGCCCAAGGTACGGAAACACAGCGCGCGGAGAGGACGGAGCCAGAGAGGAGGGGGAAGCGGAGGGGGAAGTGGGCGTTCCCTAGCGGGAAGGAGATAAAACTCCGACTGTGCTGGGCCCCCGACTTCTCTGAACCCCAATTCTAGGCCAGACCCCGGGGACCCAGGCTCAGCCACAGGGAGCTGGGCTGTAAGGCGGAACCCGGAGAAGCGGCGAAAGGAGGTCCCGGCGGCGTGCACACTGCGCGCAGAGAAGGGACGGCCGGCTGTGCCACGGGATTGCCTGGCGGGAAGGAGACAGGGGCGCCAGTCTGCTCTGAACGCCACCTCCAACTCCACTTCCAACTGAACTGAACCCCAATACCGGGCTCAGTGGGGGAGAGCATAGACTGGCAGCAGGCGAAAATCGAGGGCACCTTTCTCTCAGAGGTGCTGGCAGCGAGCACTGAAGGACCCGCATAGGGCGTGGCTGACGGAAGCCAAAGCCGCAGGCTCCACCCTGAAACCCCGCCCCATCTGTAACTGAGAAATGCGAAAACGAAATAGATCACAAACGAAAGAAATGGAGGACAAAAAACGGCTGGATATAGAGTTCAAATCTACGCTTATAAGGTTTTTCAAGAATTTCCTAGAAAAGATGGGTAAGACCTATGAGGATATGAAAAGAGATCAACTAGAATTAATAAGGAGTCATCAAGAAATGATAAGGGATCAACAAGAAATAAAGAATACATTATCTGAAATAAAAAAATATTTTACAGAGTCCTAAAAACAGAAGGGAAGATAGCAAGAATCAAGTCAAAGATTTGGAATATAAAGAGCCAGAAGACACTCCTCCACAGAAGCTAGAAGGCAAGAGAATCCAGAAAATTGAAGATAATGTAAGAAACCTCTGGGACAATTTCAAGCAAACCAACATCAGAATTATGGGGGTCCCAGAAGATGAGAGAGAGCAAGATATCGAAAACATACTAAAAGAAATAGTGACAGAAAACTTCCCCCGCCTGGTGAAAGAATTAGACTTACAAGTCCAGGAAGCGCACAGAACTCCCAACAAAAGGAATCCAAAGAGGACCACACCAAGACACATCATAATTAAAATTCCAAGAGCAAAAGACAAAGAGAGAATATTAAAAGCAGCAAGAGCAAAGAAGGTACTTACCTATAAAGGAGCACCTATACGATTGTCAGCTGACTTCTCAACAGAAACCATGCAGGCCAGAAGGGAATGGCAAGAAATATTCAAGGTGATGAATAGTAAGAACCTACAGCCAAAGATAATCTATCCAGCAAAGCTATCACTCAGAATCGAAGGTCAGATAAAGAGCTTCACTAATAAAAAAAAGCTAAAGGAGTTCATCAACACCAAACCAGAATTATATGAATTGCTGAAGGGGGTTCTTTCAGAAGAGAAAGTAAACAAAGATAAAAGTTATGAACAACAAATATGTAACTATCAACAAGTGAATCTAAAAACCAAGGAAATTTAAAAAAAATCTGATGAACAATATTAACTGTTGAATATAATAGAATCAGAGGTATGGAAGGGGAGTGAACTGACGATTCTCAGTGTAAAGGGGAGTGGGGGGTGTGGAAAGAGACTGAACATAAACTGTGCACCTATGGATGAGGACAATGGGGAGTGGAAAAAGGGCAGAGGGTGGGGTGGGAACCTGGTGGAGGAGAGCAATGGAGGGGAGGGGGAAAGGAACATTTGTAATAATATGAACAATAAAAAATTATTAAAAAGTTAAAAAAAAAAAGAAAAAAATACTTGAATAAGAAAAAAAAAAAAAAAAACAGACTTCTGAGCAGGGGCCATGAAGGTTCAATTGCACTGTCTGTGCGCGCCCACACGTGGGGTTTTGTGGAACAGCCAAAGAGCCACATGTGGCTCGCAAGCCGCAGTTTGCCGAACACTGGGCTATATCACATAGCCTAGGTGTGTCGCAGGCTACCCCATGTAGGTGTGTGTACCTGCATTCTATGTTTGCACAAGGACGAAATCATCTATCCTTGCATTTCTCAGAACATATCTCCATCATTAAGCGGCGGGTGACTGTATAGCCAAGAATATATGTTCTGTGTAGAGTCAACTACAATCTTCAAGAGTCACAAATTGACTGATTTATGTAAAGAAAACACCTTATGGTATAATTGGCTTCAGACAAAAGTTCTCACGCTGGAGAAGTAATGTAGACAAAGCATGAACTGGGAATCAGGAACCAGATCTATAATACATTCCTGCTTCGCTGCTATTCATTCATTCATTCATTCATTCATTCATTCATTCATTCATTCAAATATTTAATGACAGCCCACTCTTTGGGAGAAACTGTATCAGACGCTGGGAGCACCTACTTGCTCTTAATTTTTGTGAACACGTGTGGCTTAACTTTTCCAGATGGCTAACCTTGGTTAGACTAGATGGCAGAAGTTTCTTTCAAACCTAAAATGCTAAGGTTTCTGACAGCCTCTTGGAGGGAGAAGCTGCCCAGGCAACCTTGGGACTTGAGGACTTACCTTCCTCTTGCGAGGATTAGCTCTCGTCCTGATTTCAAAATAACTTCGTACGCACAGTTTTCAAACCGTTGGCCAGCCTCTTATCTGTATTTGGGTCATCTTGACAAAGCCCTAGTGTAGCAATTTCTGCTCAGAAGACGTTAAGAGGCGGAAGTCACGGCCTGGGGAAAGGTGTACAACTTGCGTCAGTCAGTACAGCCAGAGAGCTGTTCCCAGCAAGTCGCCCCCCGGGCCGTCGCACGGGCCTTCTGTCCAATAACACTTCTCCTGCCACTGGCTGGTCCGACGCGTGGAGGATCCTTTGCACTTCTGGTCTAATTAAGCCTCCTGAAAGGATTGCTCATCGGGGACCCGGAGTGATCAGCTTCATGGGGCGGGAAGAACTGTCTTTGCAGCCCAGTTTTCCCAGTGGGTATCAAGGTAACAAGTTTCTTGGTATCTGGCTTCAAAATTGCAATAAGTAAATAATAGCATTTTTGCTTGCAGTCCAGGTTCTTACCCCCACCCCCACCCCCACCCAAAAGGGGGAGAGTGGATTTCTTTAACAAGAAAGGAAAGAGCGGGAGAGCAATATTTGAACACGAATACAGAAAGTTACAACCCTGGGAAGCCTTCTTGTTAACGTTACGGAAATGAGCAGCTAGACTCCTCCGCCAAAGGCCAATCTGTTGTTTCCAGTCAATGAAACACAGCTAGAGGTTCCTTCCTAAACGGGCCGGCTCACTTAGCCCCTCCCACGAGCCCGAGGGTCTGTTATATCTCTGTTCCTTGAGAGTACCTCTCTCACTGAGACCGACCACAGCAAGCAGAGGCTGAAAAAAAAAAAATAAAAAAAATTAAAGAGCAAAGAGGAAGAACACAAAAGCTGCCAGTTATGGAAGATGTAAAGGGTAAGAGCAAAATTGATTTGATCTGAATCCTTAAGGACCAAAAAAAAAAAAAAAAAAAAAAAAAAAGGAGAAAACCAAACAAACCCAAAGCCCAGACCAAAAGCAAGTACTTGAAAGAGCAAGAGGCACAGAGCCCTAAATGAACTTTCCCACCCTCTCCTTCTGAGAGGAGGCAGAAAAAGAACTTGGGGAAACTTTTAAGAAGCAAGCCGGGTTGTTTGTAGTCAAGGGTGGCTCTTGAGGCAGCTGAAGGAGCTCATGAATATTCATTATCATTTGTATTCAGATCTGGCTTTTTTTTTTTTTTTTTTTTTTAAAGAGGTAAATGACTTCTTCCGTCCCCTTTGCAGTTAAGAGGCAGCTGCCTCATTTGTAGTCCAGAGTCATCTTGCTTCGGTCGGGACCTCCGCGTATTTGCTCGAAGATGCTGGGCTCAGTGTGCAGATTTGTTTTGTTCTCTAATTTCCTGCGTGCTTTCCTGTTGTGAAATTAGCAAAGGCTTCTCCGCAGGGAGCTCAGAGAAGTTAATGTGGCTAGAAGCTGTCACAACAGGACCCCGGAGAAAGCCTCTTGCAAAAGACTGAAAACTTCTTGGAAGGAGTGTGGGAGTGTGTGTGTGTGTGTGTGTGTGTGTGTGTGTGTGTGTGTGTGTGAGTGTGTGTGTGTGTGGGGGGAGAGTGTGTGTGGAGGGAGGCAGCGCAGAGAGGGGATGGAGGGCTGAAGAACAGTTTTATCTTTAAAAAGCAAGGCGTATCGGACGGACTATATTTACATCTTGTCTAAAAATTGCAAGAGCAACCGGCTTTGGAGAAATGGTGTGCAGTCTCTCTTGTCTTTTACCTCTTTTGGGCATTTTTCTGCCGGGACGGAAAGCTAGCGGCTTGCCAGTCAGAGGGAGCCAGGAGGAATCTTCCGCCGTGTGGGTGTGGAGGGTTGCAAACCTTCTTCGGTATCTCTCGTTTCTAAGAACTCCGCACGTTTTTATCACACAGAATGCGGAGGAATGGGATGAGGAACAGATTTCTTAATAAGGATAATAATGATAGCCGTTAACATTTGCTAAGTCTGTGCTGGGAGCTGTGCTAAGCATGTTCCGTGTGTTACTTATTACTCACATCGGTTTACGGGATGAGTGCTGCGATTATGGACGATGGGGCTGAGGTAGTAGGAGAGGAGCTTGCTGTGGGGTCGCACGGTAAGTGGTGAGTGTGGATGCAGCCAGGGGACACAGCACCCGCGGGCTGTTGCTCTCTCTCTGCTCCCACCGCTCTCACTGTGCTCCTGCTCTAACACTTGATTCCAGATTTGCAAATCCTTGCAGCCACGGGGTAATGCTACTGATGAAATTGCAAGGCTGGGGAGGAATTTGTGCTTTCCTAGCAGGTTCACATTTTTTTTTTTTTTTTCTTCTTCTCTATGGTAGAGCGCAGCCATTGTCAATCCTGCCCTTCACAGAAGGGAGAGACTGAGGCCAGGACGGGTTAGGTGACAGGAATCATACAACCAGACTAGACCAGAAATCCCCCGCCTCTGGTTTCTAAACTGCAGAGCCACCCCAGTCACCGCTGAGCTGCTTCCCCACCCCCAGCCGCTTTCAGTTCCCCTAAAGACCTTGCTTCATTCCTCCCTCCCAGACTGTGTTGTAAGGAGCTTGCCTCTGCTTCTAAGGCCTCTCTTCCCGTTTAGTGTGCAGCCTTGATGCCTGGGTTTGAACCCCGGCTCCATCATCTACTGACTGCGAGCCTCATCTATAAAATGAAGGTAATATAATACCTACCTCTTAGAGTTGTTGTAAGGACTAAATGAGGGATCCATACAAGGTTCTCAGAATGGGGCCTCATGCATATAGTACATGCTCAATAAATGCTACCTGTCAATCCCTCCTTCAGGCCTCATCTTGGTTGTTAGACTTGGCTCTTTCTTGAATGTTTCTACACCACCTCACCACTTAATGCCCAAGGTGGCTTGTCATACTTGTCCATATTCCTGCCCTCTGAATTGCCTTCCCTGTCCCCCAGCTATAATTCATTTATTTACCATTGGATCTTCAGCGTCTGGAGCAATGTTTAGCACACAATGGGCACTCAATAAATATTTATAAACTTAGTATTCTTTTAGTTGATGTTCATCTAAGAGTCAGGAGGCTGGTTTAAAAGGGAACCTTTGAGTTTGCTGTACATATAGCTCTTGTGCAATCTGTAAAGACATTTCTCTAAGTCAGTGGTATTCAACCTTCCTAATGCCGCGACCCTTTAATTCAGTTCCTCATGTTGTGGTGACCCCCCAACTGTAAAGTTATTTTCATTGCTACTTCATAACTGTAATTTTGCTACTGTTAATGACTCATAATGTAAATATCTGTGTTTTCCGATGGTCTTAGGCGACCCCGCTGCTGTAGAGTCTAAGATCATTGGAAAACACAGATATTTACATTATGATTCATTAACAGTAGCAAATTTATCGTTATTAAGTAGCAATGAAAATAACTTTACGGTTGGGGGTCACCACAACATGAGGAACTGTATTAAAGGGTTACGGCATTAGAAAGGTTGAGAACCACTGCTCTAAGTGAATACACTGAAAAACAAAATGCATCCCTACCGGGTGGGTTATATTCCAAGCTGATGCAGCCCCATGCCAGTGTGCCCAGTTTGGCCAGGCTAGCTCTGGCTGAACTGCAGCCCTCATTACCCCTCAGCCAGGGGACAACTGGAGATTTCAGATGCCTCACAGCACAACTTAATCTCTCTGAACGGAACATTTGGTTTCAGAAATAATGTCTCCCTAGCCCCATTTTATTTTTTTTTATTTTTAATTTCCCCCCAGCCCCATTTTATGGCACAGTCTGAGACAATGGGCTCCGGTGTGAGAGAAATCAAACACTATAAAGGTTGGCACTGGGTGAAATCATGAAGTACCTTATAATTGCTTCCAGCACCCTCGCTTTCCTCTCCCTGGCATACCTTCAAGCCAATTTGACAAATATTATTGTGTCTACCATTTGTAAGTCCCTGTGCCAGATGTGTGGGATATAAACAGTTTGCTTACAAAATAGTGGGAAAGACAGACATATATACAACCAAGTCTAATTAAATCCAGACTTTGTGAAGTGCTAGTAATAATAGCTGACATTGATTCAGTATTTACTATATGCTAGGTACTGTAATTATGTCATGCATTGTTTCATGTAATCTTCAGACTATACCTATGATTATAGGTTTCTGCATCTCACAGCTATGGAGGGAAGTTATGTGGCCAAGGCCACACAGCTAATAATAGGCAGAGGGGGAACTGAGACCTATATGATTAGGCTGCAAAGCCTGGGTTTCTAATGCATTAAGTTCTCCTACCTCCCTAAGAGCTGTAATACAAGTCTAAAGAAAATGCCATGAGAAACACAATAGGGAATGATGATTTCTGAGAAAACTTCTCAAAGGATGGGACACTTCAGTGGCTCTAGAAAGATGAGTTGAGTCTGGTGCTGACAGCAAGCCCTTCCTAGTCTAAGCAATGCTTACAGATCTTTTCTCTCTCCTTTCCTGAAACCAGAGTCCAGATTTAATAGTAAAAAGCTCTTTCACCCTTTCCAAGTTCTGAGCAGGGAACCTATTTACATGTCAGTCCTGGAGTTTTGAAGGCAGAAGTCCAAAGCGTAGACCTGGCTCTAGAGGGTTAGTGGATTACCAGACTTGTAATCCACTAACCCTTTACAAAGCAATAGCTGCTGAATGTTAAATGATTTCCTTATGATTATCTTGCATGTTCATTATACACATTTGATAAATAGATTTCACAAATGCCAGTGGCGGGTCTTGCTTTTACTTGGCTACACTGCATTTTAAGAGTATCTTCTCGGGAGCAAAAGCAAAATTAAGGGCAGCCCTTGTGGTAAGGAATCATCAAGCCTCTAGATGGTTTGGTGGAAGTGCCCAATAGCTCAGTCGTGGTGAGTGTGTGTAAATGCTCCTAGGCAGTGTTTCTCAAACTTTAACACGTATGTGATTTATTGGAGATCTTGTCAAAATGCAGATTCTGATCCAGTAGCTCTGGGGTGGAGCCGGAGATTCTGCATTTCTAACAAACTCAAGTGATGGTCATGCTGCCCTTCCACAGGCTGCACAGACTACCATGTTATAGGGTCATTGCATACCTTAATATTAGGGCTTATTTTGATACCAAATGACCAATCCCTCCCCTAGCCATCACTTGGAGTCTCTGATCAGCTATGTCCTTGCAGGATAATGGGAAGCCTCATTCATTCGTTTGTTCATTTGATTGTTTGTTCAGTCACTATATGCACAGAACAGGAAGTTGAGGCCCCCAATTTGTCATACAGCAAACAAGACTGAATCTTTTCCGCACAAATTATTCCACAAAGAAGGCCCTTTGTTGGTTTTCCCAAACATCTCTCCTCTTTCTCCAAGGCTCTGGAGTTTCCTAAGTTGCTTTCATTCCCTCCTCGGACCTGAACAGCGCTGGAGCAGTGCTGCCTCCAGGGCCCTTTGCTGGGTGCTTGGAGGGCCAGGGACCTGGGGCAGCAGGGACCCAGGGCTCTGACAATGGGAGCAGCGTGCCTGGGCATTGTCTCAGGCTGCCCAAGTAAAGTGGGAAATATTCTAGCTACAAAGGAGGGGAGAGAGGACTGAATTTCTTTAGATTTGGAAAATTGAAGGAATTATGAGGAAAAAATAAGTTGGAAAAAAGAAGACAGGGGAGAATTTGCCTAACATGTTTTCATCCTGCAGTGTTTGTGTTAGAATATAAAAATGACGTTGGAGATGCAGGAACAATAGCAGCACACACCCTACATAAAGAGATATTTCCTATTGATTCATAGGAAGAATGTAGACAACTCCTTCATGTCTGCGAGGGTGTTGTTTCCTTTTGATTCATAGGAATAACGTAGACAATTCCTTCATGTCTGTGAGGATGTAAGTAATATGGCACATGTCCATTAAAGAAAATATGAAAATATAAATTAGGGGAGAAAAGAAAAAAAT